CAATAACAGTTGTTTATATGCTATAATTTAAAACATTCACAAAAATAAATTTTTAGGTTATTTTTTTCCGTTAGTTATTTCGGTCGTAATAATGTCATCGTATCCAATTACAAAATTGTTATATTATAAAAATGGGTCTACATAATAAATTGCCACATCCTACGTAACAGTCGATTAAGTAGCTATACGTGACTTTGAAACGGCTGCAATATAATTTCTCGTCTCAAAATCAGAAAGCGCTGCAAACTTACACCGGCTAAACTACTACCACGATATGTTAGCAACATTAAATCCAATAATGATAAATCTATTTGTACGATTTACATTGCTGCTATATTATTATAGACATTGAGTTGTGTGATAAAGAAAAGGCAATGTATATCAAGCATACAGCTTGCCGTAATAAGGTTAGTTATTAAACCGGTTACAGAATCGCGGCGAAAATGTCGAGGCAATGTGGGTCACTGCCGCGCGCATAACGGCCCGCGCTCGATGCCCGCCCGCGTAACGTTACGTGTGGGAAATTATATTTGAATTTGGCACAACTTTTTTTTTTCATCGCTTTTATCGGAGTGTTGCCATTGTTCTTTTACATTGTATTCGTTTGTGGAGCATATCTGGCGGGATTACATTGATGACAATACTATACCGTTAACATCGGTGTCTAACCACCTTTATAAATTTGGTATCGTCCTTTATTTTGAAAAAAATATAGACGAAAAAAAAATATGTAGAATTCTATATTTTATTTCCGTTTGCACATAAAATTCAAGTGCGTTTAGCTTACGTTGCACAGACATTGAATGTATCTAGTTAAATCTAGCCCAAAGCGGTCTAGGCTAGCGGTATTTATCAATAAGCACCCACTCAGCCCGCTCAGCCGATCCCAACTTTCCCCGGTTTGAGATCTCTGAGCTGTAACTAATAACTATCAATGTACTGCAACTGAACCATCTTAATACAATGAATGCATCTGTGTTGTGCAGTTTGGTTGCGTGACGTGAGATTTGGTACTATGTATGATTTTTATTTACATTATATTTATGTCTTGAGCCTTTTTATAAAGTAAATAGATCTATATCTAAAGCATTTGAATGTAGACTAGTTCTCTTCTCATTGCATTTATTAAAAAATAATCTTATATACTGGATTCGAATCAAAACTATAGACAGACTACAATTTACGCTAAAGCTCATTAACTTCAAAATACTTTTCGTACGATAGTTACCTTTATTGTGCCTGTAATTTCGGCTTTCAAACGAAAGGATATGTCTATTTTAGCCATATATTTTTTGAAAAGAAATGTCGCAAAGTATCAAGACGCATAAATCCATTGCATACAGTGAAGTGCACGGCCGCTTTCACTGCGGCTGCACGAGCTTCCCGCAGACGAATGTCATTATATCATTAAAACTTACATAGACATACTAAAAACTAATTAGTAATTGTTTCCAAATGTTCATATCAATTTGAAACCTTTTTCAGTCGTTTTCAATATACTAAGAATATGTGTTTAAAAATTAAAGTTATTCAAATTGTATTTAAAAATAATTTATACTTTTAGCTAAATATTGTTAGCAACAAAGGCCGACAACGCATCTACGGTTCCTCTGGTATTGCTGATGTCCATGGGCGTCATTGAACACATCGGTGTTCCCGCTGCTCGTTTGCCTCATCTGTTATAAAAAAAAATTGGAACGTTATTTCAAAAGAAAAGTTATCCGGCTCTAGTTATTACTAACGGCTTTTTCTCCATATAGTATTGTAGGTATTACCAAAGATATTTATTTATCAATAACTACTTACATATTCTATTTAAATATCTTTGGGTACCACCGAATAGATCTGTGTTTTACATTAAAAAATTAATGATTGCATAATAGTAGCATTGATTTATAAAATGTGGCATGTTACGTTTAATAATCATTATTTTCAACACTTCCTTCCCAATTTAAAACGACACAGGCTGGGGCCAATAAACTCGCGTTTGAATAGAAATGAAAAAAACCGCAACTGTAACATTATTTCCTTCATTAACTGCCATTTTCCGCTCATGTAATATTAGCGTAAACTTTACAACCAGCTTTCCGTATGCGTAATTGGCAATGGCATTGCATGCGTATACGCAACAAGAACACAGATGCGCAAACGCACACTGGTATAATAGATCGATGCGTACGTGAAAGTCTGACATCCCCTCTCTCCCACTCACACAAATGTACACCAATGCATACTGTATCAGTACACAAACACACACAAATACAACAGTAGAGACGACTCACGGATTCGTGTTTGTGTACAAGTTATAAAATATAGTGTAATTTTTGCATTAGTGTGGGTAAAGAAAGGTGTTTAGCTAGGTGAAATGGGCACAGGCCACATGTATGTTAGATATGACATAGTTAAACGATTTACAAGCCTGTGCTTTGCTTATTTACTGACAACATTAATTTCAGACTATTTGAATGTTTACAATTCATTGTTGTTGTGTTGTCGACCGTGTTACTCTACACAAGAGATAATTCAACATATAAAAAGCTAACAGCATAAGTTATTGCTCAAATAGGTCGATATGACTACGACCTTATTGATGGTTACATCTGAAATTGACATACTCTTTGCCTTTTTTTTTAATACTCTTTGCTTAGTACCGTTTTTAACTTTAAACGTAATTGTTTTTTCCTGCCAGTATGAATTCCAAATCTGTTTTTACTTCGGCGTTTAGTTTGATGAGAATTTAGTTAAAGATTCATCATCGTTCATCGTTTTAACTTCAGAAATTGAATCCATACATAAATACTAAACAAAACAATGTCAACTCAATTTGATTGTCATATCTGTTCGAAGTATCCAAAAAGTTTTAATAGGTGAAAGTCTTATTTATTTTACTAATTAATAGAATATAGGAGCTTATTTAGCCCTTGCAACTATGTATTGGTATGATTTCATTTGATATTATGAAAGTTCGCCGGTGCCACTTTTCTCGGTTTTCTCTCGGCCAGTGAAAGGGCCGGTTTGTTCTAAACTGCATCGTCTAGAAGGTTCCACGCCGTGACCATTCATAAATTGACAATCTAATCGTTTTGCCGCCATATTGCTCATTCCTGTACTATTTTTTCTTTGAATGTTTGGACCTTTCTATTTCTATGGCTTCTTGTTTTTCTTTTGCTATTTAACTTTGTAAGATAAATTATAACCAGGAATTTTTGTTTGTACAATTACTAGTATGTTCTTTTACAGGTCTAATCGGTTTAAAGTTTTAACATGAAATTATTTATTTCTTTTTCTATCACAAGTATAATCAAACTGCCTGCTTCCACGTTTTATCATTCACTTGCTAAAATAAGTAAGTCTTGTGGTTGCAGATTCGTCTCTTGGATGTTTCGACGGTTGTATTGGGAACTACAGTTGTCTTCCAGACATCCCGAGGATAAGACCTTAACGTGGGTCTAACCTGATCCTAGGTCTTCATTCTTCTCGTCGTAATTCGTAGTATACTTTTAAAAATGCCCTTTTTCTTCGCGTAAAATAGACGTTAAAGCAGGTAAAGATAGAAGAAGATACCACTGTATTACTCATAATATGTATTTAAAGTTTCGCATCAGTTAATTCAGACAATAAGACGTCGAAGTATTGTCTAAAGGTCAGGCGCAGTGTTCAGAACATGTTTCGACGACTCACCTACAGGGGAGGGGAGGCACCTAGACCTTTCTCTCAAGTTCTGGGTCGAGCCGGTAGCTTATGTAAGATATGTTTACATTTGTTGATTTCTTATTGTTCGATTTGTAACTGTTCTTCATATAGATTTGACAAGCATTGTTGTTGGTTATTTTTCTGGACTTTGTTGGACAATTTCAGGAAAGTATTCTAAGTGACTTATCTTATAACCTGTTCTTCTTTACCAAGGAGCCTGAAGTTTGCAATGCAGATTCTTCTTATATTGTCATCAAGCAATTTGTGATGTTTATATTAAATAAAACTAAGGCCTAAAGGTACATTAGACAACACAAATTACTGAATCGAAGTAATTAAGAGAAACGACCAGGTGGTTATAACAAATATTAAAAAATAATAATAAATCGAGAAGTGCAGCTATGGGCCGAGAAAGCAGGGCCCTACCGCTTTCGCTTCACGGACTAGTTGCCCGCACGCGCCCGGTGCATGCGCGCAATCGACATTTAATAATACAGATAAAACATTGCAGCAAAATAACACTTTGTTTTTCATAAAAGAAGAAAGGTAAAACACGCTAGTTGCCTGTTGTAAGGTCAATATTTGCTAATTTATTAGCAAACTTAACGAGACCTGAAAGGCTAACAATCGACCAACAACGATTCTTCTTCTTTTTCTCTCCTCTCTCTAGGTGCCTCTCTGATTAGGGGAGGTCAGTGGTCAGTTTTCCATATTTAAATATATCGACGACGAAAAACCAAAACTTATAAAAGTGCTTAAACAACCCTAATGATGACCATTATGAAACACGTACATATGTTATTATAAAAGTTCACAACTAAGGGAAAATCTTACGATACCGAATTCTATACCCAGAAGGGGAGAAGTATTTGTAGGTACAATATTTAAAATTTTTGAGTCCATCAGCTATGTAAAAGAATGTATGTTCGAAAATTAATTAAATTAGTAAAATGCAATAATTCAAAATGTACTCTTACAAAATAACTAATACTTAACATTGCTATTTTGATTTGCAAGGCGAAAATAGTTGATTTCAATTTAATGCCACCTATCCACGAGGAAGTAAACTACATGGGCTTAATTGTTACATTTTTATATGTTTTAAGACAATATTTTATGTTTGTATCCGAAAATGCATTTGAAGACCATAAAAACGGATGTAGTAAATGTAGTTCGTGAAATTAATATGGGTAGTTTAATTTGCAATTTGTTTAAAATGAAGATTTTTAATAACAGCAACACTGTTCCAAGTATAAAATTGGAACATTTTACATTCTGGCCACCCGAATCAGGTCAATCAAGGAAGTGCAGCAGTCAATTTGATTGCCATTATTGTTTTTGTATTATTTTATTAAATGAAATGCTATTAGATAAATATTTGGGCAGTGAAAGTTTATTCCAAAATGATTTGGAGATAAAAATGTGTTATGTTCGGCGGTAGTGCTTGTGATTTTATCCGGACAGGAGAAAAACCGCAGGCAGGTGTGACAGCATATTGAATACCGCATAGATTTCCTTTTTTACTATTTAATTTCGGATTAAGTTTGCTAAATTCACTTAATACAAGACCCGGTGTTACTAAAAGATTATCTATCGATAATTTCTTAAATATTTGCAATAAAAGAAATGTAATTTTAAGTGACCCAGATTCGGTGCGGTGTGGGTTTGAATGCGGACTAAGCTACGATGTTATTTTTAGGATACGGCTTTGCAGATAACTAAATATTTATAAAGGCTGTTTGATAAGATGCATGAGAAAATTGCAGCACAATACAAAACGCGATTTATTCCGAAAAGATAAATGTAAGTCTTTGTTTAATTTTCGATGTTTTTTTAAATATTCTCTGCCCTACCTTTGACGAAATACATTTGGACATCAACAGATCCTGTTTTTGCATAAACATTTAATTAATAGTGATAATCCTATTTTAATCAAAATAAAATTATCTGGAAGTACTGTTTTAACAATTACAATATTTTTTTCAGATGAGGGAATCAAATATATTAGCACATCTACATTAAAATTATTCGTAGATAAGAATAATGATAATTTATGGCAAATAGACCCACCCAACAATTAAAGAAAATGGCTATTATTCTAAGTTTTTAGTCATCAATTCTAATAATACAAAGAAATTCATTTATAATCTTAGACATATCTATTACATCATAATGATTCGGAAATCTGATCTTCATTAGATTACTATAAGAATGGTAACTTAGAGATAGGACTTAACAATATGCGGTTGTGGGGCTGAATCTGTGAACGAAGGTGACAGGGCTCCAGGCTCTAGGGTCCGAGTGACTCGGCAGTGATGAAGAAGCAAAATGTTCGCACGCTATCGTTAATTGTGTGCACATTTACTTACCTGCTAGTCGGTGCGGCTGTTTTCGATGCTTTGGAGTCGCCTACTGAGAAAAACAGATTTGACGTCCTACAAGGTATATATTTTATTTAGTGAAATTTTAAAGATAAGGTTGGTTTACATCACACCAGTGTGCTTTCCAGCTTTTATTTTTATGATAAAAGGTGGCAAAGGAGCAAGGATGTCTACCTTTAAAGGACGATGAAGGGCCCATACAGTTTGTTTCATCTTGCATTTTTGGATTAACAAAAATGACAGTCTTAGTTTAGGGTTTAATGGTAGAAAACCACATTCCATATCTGTTATTTGTCTTCCAGCGATAGAGGGTATGCTAATAAGGAAATATAACTTCACCGAAGAAGACTTTAGAGTGATGGAGATGGTGGTACTCAAGTCTGAACCGCATAAAGCTGGGCAACAGTGGAAGTTCACCGGTGCATTTTATTATGCTACCACCGTGCTCACCACTATTGGTGAGTTATATTTGACTACTTGTTTTACGGTTTGCCAATGTTAACTTGTGCTTAAATACTATGCATCTATATTTAATAACTATGGGTCTCTGTTAGAGAAACATTTATACTAATACTAGCTGTCGCCCGCAACTCCGTCCGCGAGAGATTAAAAAATAGATAGTAGACGATTTTCAAACCTACTAAATATGCTCACAAAATTTTATGAGAATCGGTCAAGCCGTTTCGGAGGAGTATGGGAATGGAAATTGTGATACGAGAATTTTATATATAAGATAATTAGGAAAGATGAAGATTGTTGTTTGCATTGAAATGATTTGGTAATTCTTTCAATGTTGGGAAGCTACACTATCTCTGGGCGAAATAAGCTATGTTTATTACTGCTTTTTTAATAGAATAGAATTCTTTGTTGCCACAGAAAAAAGTACATAAACATACTCAACATTCAATAAAATAACACAATATGGCAAAAGGCAAGCTTAGCAATGCAGGGATGGACAAGGCTGTTCTCGCACTGGTTTACAGCTAGCCCCTTGCCCCTAATAACTTAGCCTCTCCAATTCAGAAGCTCATCAGAAAAATATAGTGTTTCATTATCTTTTAAAAAACTATATGTTTGTATGTATGTTTGAATGAAAATATACAGTCGGATTTATTAAAATTTTTGTGGTTATTTGTGGTTTGCGTTAATCTACTAGATTTAATAGATTTTAATAATTCTCTAGGCTATGGACACTCCACTCCTTCGACCATTGGCGGCAAGCTGTTCACAATGTTCTATGCAATCGTTGGCATACCACTTGGTCTGATTATGTTCCAGAGTATTGGTGAGAGAGTCAACAGACTTAGTAGGTGAGTACTTTTGATAAGCAAGAATCCAAGAGACCACAATATTTTTCTTGCTTATAGAGGATTCTTGTTTATTCAGGTTTGGCTGTAGTATCAAACTCTTCAATAATTATTGGCTTAATGTGGCATGCATTTCTGCATGCCACATGCATGAATAATTATTCTTTTAAACATTATGTTGACAAAATTAGTTATAAAGTTTGGTTAATTTTCGACAATTCAAGTGTAAGTAATATTGATGTTTAAAGGAAAGACCATTTTTTAAGTAATTTAAACTCTATTGTATTGTGTAGTATGAAGCCATCCATGAAGCCATTCAGGAGATATATTCTAACAAACATCCATCCTAAACTTTCGCATTTATAATATTAGTAAGATTAATTTAAAATATTTTTATCTCTATTTCCAGTGTAATAATAAAAGCATTAAAGCGTGCGTTGAACTGCAAACAAACGACCGCATCAGAAGTAGACCTGATCTGCGTGGTTACCACGCTTTCCTCATTGACTATAGCTGGTGGTGCGGCTGCATTCTCCAAGTTTGAAGGATGGAGTTACTTTGATAGTGTATACTACTGCTTTATAACTCTTACTACTATTGGTAAGTGTATAAAACTAATAATTAATAATAATAAATAATATTAAATGGTTAACCAATTTCCACTCGGAGAGTTAGTTGATCCAGATTCTTTGAACTTTTTTTATCCTAAATGGCAAACAACCATCCGCTACCTGAAATTGCCAAAATAGTGAAGCTGCTTATGCCCATAGACATCCACAATGCAGATGCGTTGACTTTTGTCAAATCCATTTTCCCTTCCCACATTTGCCTTATAAGAATAGGATGATAAAGGAAAGAAGATAAAGTTAAGCCTCCAGCAATGACTTTCGCTTTATGCTTTATTTCTGTGTGGTTGTGGTATTGCACCGGGCGATGCCCATTTGTGCACTAGATGTTGTTGCTAGCACTACCACTGTTCACCTTTAAGTCTTGGGTTTATTAATTTTATCTACGTTAATGAAATTCTTTAGGAAAAACTATTCATCAATTCCTTTATTAACTTTTGAGTACATAACAATATTTTGAATTTTGCCTAGATATCCTTAATTTTATTTTTGATCCTCACATTAAAATTAGGCAGTGGATGTCCTGCTTAGATACTTATGAACCTAAAGACCCAAATGAATTAAGAAAAAACAAATAGAAATAAAGAAATTTATTTTTATACAATTTATAGGTTTCGGTGACATGGTGGCTCTACAAAAGGATAACGCGTTGAACCGCAAGCCTTCGTATGTGATGTTCGCGTTGATCTTCATCCTGTTCGGTCTGGCGATAGTGGCCGCCTGCCTCAACCTGCTCGTGCTGCGCTTCGTCACCATGAACACTGAGGATGAGAAGAGAGATCAGCAGCAAGCGGAACAGGTCACTACCATTCATTCAATGATACAGTACAGTCAGCGTCATATAGATCGTAACAGACAAGATATGCAAATATATAGGTACACCAAAAGTAATCAATTATATCGGTACAACAAAAGTCCTCAAATTAATAGATACATTCACCCTGCTCAAATACATCGGTACATACACAGCGTCAAATATATGAGTACATGCAAGGTGCCCATAAGTATCGTAGCAGCCACAGCGTCATAAGTAACGAAGCAGTCAAGGTGTGTAAAAATATCGTAATACTTGACAAAATTGAACTCTATCTCTATATACTTGTGATACAATTTGGAAAATGTTATTTCACACTTTGCATCAAACCACTGAAGTAAGGGATACATTTTTTAGGATGAAAATCTTAACTTTAACTTTCGATTCGATTAAGTTAAAAACATATTCATTTTCACGCCTGTTACATATAGGGGTAGGCAGAGACTATGAATTCTTCTTCTTCTTCTTCTTCTTCTTCTTCTTCTTCTTCTTCTTCTTCTTCTTCTTCTTCTTCTTCTTCTTCTTCTTCTTCTTCTTCTTCTTCTTCTTCTTCTTCTTCTTCTTCTTCTTCTTCTT